AAAAAAAAAAAAGAAATAATTAATAAAAAATTTATTGAACATTCACTTCTAGCCAACCATTGTGTAAGAGTTCCAATAACGTAGTCTCATGTAATCCTCACAACAACCCTCTGTCGTAGAAATTATTAGTCATTTTATTTTAACTTAGATGGATTGTTGAAGAACCTGAGGCTCACAACAGTTTAGATTTTGCAGAAAGTCTGAGTAACAAGTAGAAAAAGTATTTAAGCCTAGATCTTATAGCTTCTAAAAGCATACCTCATTCTGCTTTCCAGTATATAGTAGGATTTTTTTGGAATCCTATGAGTTGAAACATAAGACTATTGTACTCTTTTAGGTCTCCATTTAAAATCACCTACATAAAACCACTCTAACTACTGATGGACTAGAGGTTCCAGTAATAGTTTTTTACATTTAAAATCTTTGCTCCAACCACAATTTATATTTAATTAATGAGGGTGAGAGCTACGGCTGCAAACCAAAAAGATGGCAGTTCGAATCCATCGGCTGCTCCTTGGAAACCCTATGGGGCAGTTCTACCCTGTCTACCGGGTCACTAAGTGTCGGAATTGACTTGACAGCAGTGAGTTAATGAGGGGGAAAAGGTTTTCAGCTTTATTTTCTCCAAAATGTACAGCTAATTATTCAAAATAAATTTATTGCATAATATATCTCTTGCCCTCCGATCTGTAATGTCACCTTGACCATATATAAAACCTTCATAAAAATACAGATTTACTTTTGGATTCCCTATTCTGTTCCATTTGTTATTTTGTCTTATAAATCCTTTAAAAAATAGGCAGGGTGTAATTTATGAATAAATGAAATTAAGTATACACAGAAATGTTAATAAGTAAATATTCCTTAATCTATTGAGGATTAATTTAATTAACTTTTACCAGTGGTATAAAATAGAAAAATGAATAGTTATATAAAGAGATCTCATGGGTCTTTTAAAAGCTCTTATATCCTAGATCTCATTGTGGCATGGCTTAAGAATTAAATAGCCTTTGCTAAAATACCAAATATTAACAGAGAAAAAGCACTTGATGGATGCAAAACTCATTGCATTTAATATGGTTCTAAGGGCTACAATGAACCTTCTAATTTTTCTGATTAAAACAGGAAAGAAAATTACAAAAAGTTTCGGGACTGCTCTCCTATACTCATAAGGTAAATTACTCTCTTGAGGCATGAAAACAATTGTTTTAGAAACTGACTCTCCAATACAGCAGTTAAAGAATATGATAAGTAAAAGTCAATAAATTTTTCTTTTGCTTATCACATTCAATGTCAATCCTATCCCTAAGAAATGAAAACATAACCTGAATTTTGGCTAAGACAGTGAAAGGATTTTTTAAAAAAGTAAAACATTAGAAACATTTTCTAAAAGTACTTAATGAATGTCAAAAGAACTCTGACAATCACAAAAATATTTGCAACCCACCACCTGAACCACAGCTTACACCAGCCTGAGCCCAGAAGAACTAGATGGTGGCCAGTTACCACCACTGACAGCTCTGACAGGGGTCGCAATAGAGGGTCCTGGACAGAGCGGGAGAAAAATGTAGAATAAAATTTAAATTCACACACATACAAAAGAGCAGACTTATTGGTCTGACAAAGACTGGCAGAACCGTTGTGACTATGGCTCCCAGACAGCCTGCTGACTCAGAACTGAAGCCACTCCCGAAGTCCACCTTTCAGCCAAAGATTAGACAGGTCTATAAAACAATAACACACGTGAGCAATGTGCTTTGCAGTTCAATCAAGTATATGAAACCAGATAGGCAACATTTGCCCAAAAGCAAAGACGGAAAGGCAGGACGGGGCAGGAAAACTGGATGAAGGGACACGGAGAACCCAGACTGGAAAGGGAAAGGGGGATAGTGCTGACACATTGCAGGGATTGCAACCAATGTCACAAAACAATTTCTTTATAATTTTCTTTTTTTGAATGAAAAACTAATCTGCATTATAAACTTCACCTAAAACAATAAATTTTTTTTAAAAATTGCAGATCATATCTCTGAAATAGGACTATTACCTAGAATATTTAAAGAACTCTCAAAACTTAACAATAAAATACAAACAACCCAATTAGAAAATGGACAAGTGATGTGAACAAACATTGCAAGGCCTAAAAAGAAATACTGCCCTTTTAAATAATGACTATTCAAAAGACTGAGACAATTTGTTCCGCTGTGGGTATCAACTCATGGCAACAAAATTAAGTACCAATGCTCTGTAAATAACCACATTTTAGTTTTACTTTAAGTACAATATCAAAATACAATAAAAATACTTCATTTAGAGTTAGAGCATTGAGCAAATTCCAGGGATAGAGCAAAATTAAATTTTTTAACAAGATTGAGGGGGTTTTCAAGGATTTATATTTAATGTCCAAAATAAACATAGATCTTATTTTATATTTTCTCACAATGACATTTATAACTTAAACTGGCTTTTAATCCATTCATAACTTTTAAGTGGCTTTTTATCAAGGAAAATGAAAGAATAATTAGTGAAGGCAAAAAAGAAAAATAAAAAACTTTACATATAAGAAACAACTTAAAAAGAACATCATGACTATCAGTATTTGTGGGACAACAAACTTGGTTTGGCCTTTTGTCTTTGGTTTCTCAAAATTTCCTGAACAGTCAAAGGACTTTTGTTTTATACAACAGCCAGGCAACACTTAAACATATACAGATAAGTTAAGAGTACCCAACTCATCACCTTCGCAACAGGCGTCAGAAAGGGAGAAGGCATGACCACCCCCTACCCTCTGAGGCCTAATACTTGTCCGTGTAGCGTGTCATGCAGACTTTGGGGTATAAAAATGGCTGGATGAAGGATCTCAGAATCCCTTCCTTCAGGAATTCCTCAGCCCCTGCTACATCCTTGCCCATCCTGCTGTTTTGTTACATGAAAGAATAAATTTCCCTTTATGCTTATCCTCATTAAAATTAGATGTCTACACCAACAGAGGCCCCTAGTACAAAGATATAATATCTAAAGCAATAAGATCCACAATTGTTTGAAAGGAATATGTGATCACTATAGAGGAGAATGATAAGGATATAACAAGGAGGACCAAATCATGTATGTGACACTAGAAATACAATATTTTATTGAGGAAAAGCCAGGATTAGAAGCACTCTTGAATATACAGAATAATATGCCAATGTCATTAACATAAACAAAGGCATTCATTCTGTCATTTCCAAATTTTATTTTTGACAATTTACCTAGTTCAAGCACATACTCATGGAATTATGGCAGTAAATGACCTACAAAGGTCATCTAAGTCCATGATACCAGTCATTCTTTTATAACAAAAAAAGATAACACGTAAGCAAGAATGGAACTAATTTTCTTACGTAGCACAGGGATTGTTCACAGGGTAAAGAACATCTATCACTTTAAATTACCGATCTGAATGCAAACTCAGGCCAACAATAATTGAAAATTGTGTGAAAAGAATCTCTACACTGCAGTAACACAGGCAATGTTTAAAGCATAAAAGAACAATTACATTCAGAAATTAAAAAATCATACTATGAGACTGTCTTTAGTAAACCTAGCATACCACAAATGTTATCACTTCTTGAATATGTACGTACATCTTTCTTGGATAAGGCATGGGATCTAAGCATACTTTCTTAAACCCAATTCCACAAACTTGTGAAGCAAAGAAGGTTAATATATTCACAAATGATTAACCTTGAAATCACATGGGCAAAAAGGACATTATTACATTACTTGTAAAGCATCAACAGTTAATAAGATTTTACTGAATAACAAAGCTTCTTCTTCAACTTGATTCCGATGTCTTTATCTTTTTATCTACAGTAACTAGGCAAAATAACTTAGTTTCACTTTGCATACGTGGTATTGACTGCATGCTAATCTAATACAGCCTGGAATCAATCACAATATTCATCAACTAAAGGTGTACTCTGCCCCTTATTACTATTTATAGCACACTGCTCTCTTTCTCAATTATCAGTACTATCAAAGGATTGGCAGTCTTCAAGGAAGACAATGACAAGAGGCCAGATTAAATAAGAAATGAAGATTTAATGGGGATTGAGCTTGATAGTGTGGTGAAAACGATTCTATAGTTCAAGTCAGCAGGAGAACTAACACATAAAATAGAGGCTATAATTGTAGATTATGGTATAAAAATGTTCTTTTCATAACAAAAGAACTTTAAGAAGAGTAGGATTATGTTCTAATATGTGTCAATAACAACTAAAATTGAGGTTTCTTTTTAACTGTACATTGGTAGCCACCTTATGCACCTATGCGAACAAAAAATCCAAGTAAAAACATGCAAGTTTATAAAGGGAAATGTAAGTTAGAATTGGAGTCAGAGACTGGAGACCATTTAGGGAAAAAAAAAAACTATTCAACTAATATTTAATGAGTACCTACTACATGCCAGACCCTGTACAAGGCACATAACATTCAAAAGGAACAAATCAGGCAAAAATTCCCGATCTCACACTGCTCACAGGCTTATGGCTATTGGAAAAGCCATTCGTAAATACATAGGAAAAGGAAAACTAAGGCTATATACAGTTCACATTTTCTGGGTCTATTCCAGAGACTTCACTGGATCAGAGTCAATGAGAGGGAAAGAAAAACTTTAATGGAAAAACCTAAATAAGAAAAACTTATCCTAATGTCTACTTACTGGATTATGGAACTGTCAACCCAAATGGAAGGAATTTAATCAAAACCTAGACTGTACCAAATTTTAGAAAATACTTATGCTAAAGGCACTCTGCATTAGACTTTAAAGATATGCTTAATGAGCTAATAGATACTTTATCTTCTCTAATATCTGAAATTCCCGGAATACTTTTATTCAGAGGTCTATTTAATATGAACTGGTGGTTGTAGTTCATATTCCAGCACAAAAACATTTTTAACATAATACCACCATCCCAATTTGTATTTTTTTGCCTGACTCCTGAGAAAGGCTAGCAACTACATTAGCAAATAGGCTTAACTACCTTATTATCCCCCGTGGTTAAAGGGAAATGGCTAAGGTGCAAGGAGTTTGCACACAAAAAGCAACATTAAGGTAACACGTTCCAATATTCTATTTATCACAAGAAATTGAACACTAGCTCTCTTGAATAATTAACCATCTATTCCACAACCTTCTAGGTTATTTCAGTAGTTTAAAATAATAAATAGAGTAATTTTATGTTCAATTGAAAATTAACGTCAGATTTTAAAGTTGAAAACAGAATGGTAAAACAAAAAGTTGATAGATTTGAAAATTCATTTCTCATCATGATTATACTTGTTCACCTTAATGTCAAATAGGCACAACATTTAATTCTTCTTCTAAAATATTATTTTGAGTCTACAAATTTGAGTCTGCTGTCAAATCTGGATCATAATCATAATGATTTCTTCATTTTAATAAAACAACCAAGAAGACAAAAATTGAGAAGGACTAGATACTTACAGCACTGGAAAGGAACTGAGCATACTTTACATGAGGCGAATCAATAACCTTTCCAGAGATGATCAGCGTTATTTACCATTCTGCTGAACAAAGACAAAAAATTTAGAAATATTTATGTTAGTCATGTACTGAATAAAAATTTTAATTATATAATTTAACGAATCATGTTTTTAAAATTACTGAATTATGTCAGTAATGTTCAGAAATATTTGTTTGAAGCAAAATTTAAATGGCGAAATACCACTGATAGCTTTCCAAGTTATTCACTGGGAAGAAGCAATGAAAATCATACCTCCGAAGTTTAATCTGTTACCTGGCACCCCCTAGGGAAACAGACTGAAACATGCAGTGAAATATATACTGCAGTGACATTCGGATAACTTTTTGATAATAGCATCTGGGTATTTATGTAAAATCCTATAGACAAATGACACCTCCAGTGTGACTGTAGCTAAAGGTCTTAAACTTGGGTAAACTCTGAGGTACAGTTTCAAGTACACTATTTATTTTACTACTAGCATAATCTTGAGTGAATTAAAACTTCTCCAAGTCTCAATTTACAAATCTATAAAGCAGGGATAAGGGATAACTACTTCAAAGAGCTACTATAGAGGTAAAAAAAAAATTTTCATTTTAATGGAGGTGGTGATGAGGCACTCTGCAAGCTATCGAATGGTGAGGGGCTATTATTACCAATTTTAAAAAGATATGAATACTTATGTTGCATTTAGATTATGGAAGACAGGATAAGTTTACGGAGGGAGTCTAGTACTTCTACTGATTTGCGTTTTATGCTTTATTCAAGATTCAGGCACTTTAACCCCTTTCAATTCAGAAAGATCTTAACCAAACAAAACAAAAAATGTTATCTACTATTCACAGTTTAGGAGCTAAAGATCAGGTATACTGACTGAACTTGTTAGCAGTTTCAAATTATAATCTATAGAGGCAACTAATAATGTTAAATTAAGGTTATAAATTGGACAAAAGTTAAAAATATTGATGTCAAAAACTCTCACATTAAAGTGTGCATTCAGCACTGAATTATATTAAGCCAGACCAAAGCATCTAAAGTGACTAATAATATATGCGAAATGAACAGGGTAAAGTTAGAAATAGTTCGTATTTGCATATCCAAAATTGTATCTTTAATGAAGTTCCTACTGTAGTTAATTTTCTTGCTGACTTAAATGCCTGTCCTGAAAGAGGAGATGTAAAGTACAAAGAAAATCTACTGAAAATGCTTGATTGCATTTTCTAGACAAAACAGCACCACCAAACCATAAAATGATTACTGGTCAATATACATTTTCAAATCTCTGCTCAAATTCAGTTAAAATATACTAAGTATCTACTTGCCCTAGCCTAGGCACAAGGTCACAATATGAGTAAGATATGGTCCCAGCATTAAAGGAGCTCATAAGATTAAACTGAGGGGTAGAGAGTGCAGGCAAAAATTACACACACATACACACCTTTAATAAAAGGAAAAAGAAAAAATCTTTAATTATTTATATTATCAATAAACGTGATTTCACAAAGATACAAAATACCTTGCAATCCTCTGACAATACCCTCTAACAAAGCCATCCTTCTGTCCATTATCAAAACTGATCATACATTTGGTCATGATAAAAGCTTTAGTAATTTCAAAGATAAAATCCAAAAAAAATTTAGGGAAAATGTACAAAAATAACTACTGATAAATTATGAAATACTCCTAGATAATCCATGGGTCAGAGAGAAAATCAAAAGGGACACAGAAACAATGAAAAACAGAGAAACACTCTTCATAATTAAAGCCCATGTGACCCACAAAAGTTATATTAGAGAGAAATTTGTGGCTTTAAAGGCTTTTAATATTTTTAAAAGGCAAACTAAATAAAAAAATACTAAAACACAATTTAGTACTTAATACACACATAACGAAATAAGTTAGAAAGAAAAAGACTAAGAGATAATATTTAAAATTAATGTAAAATAAAAAAGTTCAAAAAAAAATTCAAATAAATCCCAAAACTGGTTCTTTGAAAAGACAGAGTCCAGTAAAGAGGGTGGTGGGTGAGTGGGAGAGTGAAAACTATAAAGATTCAGAATGAAAAGAGAAATACAACCATACGTATGTATAAACAAAAAATCAAGAAAAAATAACTTTAAAGCAATGCACCTGAAAGTTTAAAAGAGGAGAATGATTAACCAGTAAAATAGAAATTATCAAAACTGACCCAAGAAGAAGTGAAAAACTTGAGTAGAACCAAATACTATGAGCTAAAAGTAATTAAAGATATACTATAGAAAAAGGCATCAAGACCAGATAGATTTTCAGCAGAGATTTATTTAACCTTTTATAAAATATAATTCTAATAATATTAAACCATAGAAAAACAGGAAATGTCCCAATTAATTTTATGAAGCCAGAAAAACTCAATACCCAAACCTATTAAAAGGCAGTACACAAAACATACCCATGGCCATTGAGTCGCTTCCACTCAGAGAGAACCTACAGGCTACAGGAGAACTACCCTATAGAGTTTCCAAGGCTGTAATCCTTATTGCCACATCTTTCTCTCCTGAAGCAGCTGGTGGGTTTGAACCATTGACCTTTTTGTTAGTAGCCAAGCGCTTAATCACTGTGCCACAAGGGAACATACCAAAAACTTACTGCCGTCAAGTCGATTCCAACTCATAGCCACCCCATAGGGTTTCTGAGGCTGTAAATCTCTATGGAAGCAGACCACCTCATCTTTCTCCTGCAGAGTCACTGGTAGTTTCAAAGCACCGACCTTTTGGTTAGCAGTCGATCGCTTTAACCACCGTGCCACCAGGGCTCCTTAACCAGGGAACATAACATATACAAATTTCACTTATGAACCTAAATGTAAAATTTCTAAATAAAAAACTCATGTTAGACAATAGAGTCCAGCAACACAGGTTCATTTTTAAGAATCAACATAATCCGTTACATTAACAAATGCAGGAAAAAAAATCATATGATCATATCAAATGGACAAAAAAAAATTCGTATCTTATCAATAGATGCTGAAAAGGCATTTGATTAAATTCAGCAGCTATTTTTTATGAAAACCATGGAAAGGAAGAATAGAAAAAAATCAAACATTTTTAATAAAAAAAACAATAGCAACTATTATCTTAAATTGCAAAACACTAAAACCATTTCAATTAAAATCAAGATTGTATACACACACAGTAAGTGTGTGTATATATTCGCACAGGTCATGGACTGAATTACATCCCCCAAAAAATGTATGCATCAATTTGGCTGGGCCATAATTCCCAGTATTATGTGGCTGTCCTCCATTTTATGACTGCAATTTTATGTTAAAGAGGATTTGGGTGGGATTGTGACACCCTTACTAAAGTCATGTCCCTGATCCAATGTAAAGGGAGTTTCCTCGGGGTGTGGTATGCACCATATTTTATCCTACAAGAGATAAAAGGAAAGGGAAGCAAGCACAGAGTAGCAGACCTCATACCACCTAAGAAAGCAAGTGCCAGGAGCAGAGGGTGGCCTTTGGACCCAGGGTCCCTGTGCGGAGAAGCTCCTAGTCCAGGGGAAGATTGATGAGAAGGCTGACAGAGAGAGAAAGTCTTCCCCTGGAGCTGACGTTCTGAATTTGGACTTTTAGCTTACTTTACTGTGAGGAAATAATTTTCTCTTTGTTAAAGCCATCCACTTGTGGTATTTCCGTTAAAGCAGCACTGGATGACTAAGACAGCACACACGTGTATGTGTGTCAAGAATTTGCTTCTGCATACACAGAATTATTTATAGAAGTTATCTAATAACAGTGATTACTTTGAATATGCAGGTGAGAACTGGACAGATTAGGAACAGGGGTGGGAAGGAAGCTGTTCATAGGAAACTTTTTTTACTATTTTAACTAGGTGAATGTTATTACATATTCAATAAATCATATTAATAAAATTAGGAATTAGAGTGGCAAGTCTACTAACCCCTTTATAATTCAACACTGACTTAAAGGTTATAGCAAACATTATGAGGTATCAAATAAAATAAATAATGAATTAACTAACAATTATTAGAAAGAAGAAAAAACTCACTAATCATCTGAAAAAATATCTAGAAACTCAAGCAATAGCAAAAACTAAAACTAATAAAAGATATTATTAACGAGCAGTATGACACAATACATTTTAAGTTAATAAAATGTTCTGTGGTTTAGCAATGGGAAGAACATTCCATTCATAATAGTAACTTTTCCAACACTGATGAATAACTTTATAGAGAAAAGAAGCATGAAAGGGATTTTTTTTTAACCTTGGAATTTAAAAATATATGATCTTACAGTCCTAAGAACTACCAACAAAATCGTGCAAAAGAAGAAAAGCAAAAGTGGAATTCCCTGACCAGATACCAGAATATAGGAAAAAGCCACTGTAATCAAATCAAAATGACTGGCATAGGAATATACACACAAGATGAGTAGAACAGAATAAAGAATTTAAATACAGATTCCAGTACATATAAGAAAATGTACATGTCAAAGGTTAAATCTTAATTTAGCAGGAAAGGATAAATTATTTTTGTAAATGGTTATCACAAAACTGGTAACCATTTAGAAAAAAAATAAATGTAGATCTCTTTGTGATGAAAATACACAGAACAAAACATGCCATCTCAACAATTTCTATATGTAGAATTTAGTGACATTGATTACATTTTTCAAGCTGTGCAACCATTGTCACTATTCTTTTCAAAATCACTCCACCACCATTAACATAAACTCAATCCCCTCTATGCAAAACTTCCCCTGACTTACTTCAACTTATTTCAACAACTGACTTATTTCACTCAGCATGATGTTTCCCAGGTTCATACAAGTTGTGGCATGCATCAGGACTTCATTTATCTTTATGGCTGAGTAGTATTTCCATTAAGGAACCCTGGTGGCACAGTGGTTAAGCACTTGGCTGCTAACCTAAAGGCTCAAACCCACCAGCTGCTCCACAGGAGAAAAATGTGGCAGTCGGCTTCCGTAAATATTTACAGCCTTAGAAACCCTGTGGGTCAGTTCTACTCTGTCTTACAGGGTCACCATCA